GGGGGGGGGGGGAAGAAAGAAAGAGGACATTATGATTAGCATGTATAGTGTGTGGGGTGCACAGGGAGGGCTGTGCGACACAGAGAAGACAAGCAGTGGTTTTACAGCATCTTACTACGCAGATGGACAGTGACTGTGAAGGGGTATGTGGGGGGGACTTGGTGAAGTGGGGAACCTAGTAAACATAATGTTCTTTCTGTAATTGTAGGTTAATGATACCAAAATAAAAAAAAAAGTTACCAACAGCTGGATAGAGTCAATCCATATGACCTTTATAATAATAACATGGTCCTCAGAGTCTATGCCACAAGCATTTAACTTTTAAGATGAGGCTGAGTTTATATTTTACTAATTAGAATTTTTTTCTTTGAGTGGGAAATAACAAAATTTAGTGTATAATTGTACTCAATTTCAAAAAAAAAGTTAGACCAACTTTCTAATTACTTGAAAAAAGTGTACTAAACTCTAACTAAACAAGATATAGTTTTAAAGTAATGTACACAAGGGTTTAGAACTGTAAGACATGTGAAAACTTACTTAATTTTGAAGTAGGGAAGATCTTTCTAGTAATAGAAGTTCTAAGAGTAAAAGTTATTCTAAAAGTTCTGCAGAACAATAAAAAATTAAATTAAAACAATGTCCTATCTTTGGCAAATTTTTAAAAACGATGATGCCCTATTTAAGGATGAAGAAGACATCAAAAAAGGCTTTATTATACTGCTGGTTGAGAATATGTATGGAATTAAATGTTCTCATGGGAAATTTGACAATATTATCCAAAACCTTAAACTATACGTAGTCTTTACCCTGGAAATTCCACTACTCAGAATTATAGGGATGCAAAAAAGAAATGATCACAAAATATTCTTTATAGCACTATTTAAAATATTTAAAAATTATAAAAAATATCTATCAATAGGTGAACTGGGAAACTAATTAGAGTATACATTTAAAGTAGAACTGTATGCTATTATTAACCTTAATGCTACAGAAGAATATTTGAAGAAATTTAAAAATTTTTACATAGTTAATGATGTAATTACACATTTAACTGGAAAGATATTCTCAAAATACATTAAATGAAAACTAGAGAATGTGTTGCAAATGAATATATATTTTCTCTTTTTTACAAATTTTGCTTTTGTTCTTTTGGATTTAGCATCAGCTTGTTAACTTATGCAAAAACAGAATTGAAGTATTCAACAGGGTTTATATTTTAAATGGTGATACCCTGGGCTAAATGTTTGTGTCCCCATGAAATTTATATGTTGAAGCCCTAACCCCAAATGTGTCGGTGGTTGGAAATGGGGACTTGGGGAGGTGATCAGGATTAGATGAGTTCATAAGGGTTGAACCCTAATGATGGGGTTAGTGCCCTTGTAAGAAGAGACACCAGAAAACTTGTTCTCTTCCTCTATCATGTGATGACGTATGAGAAGGTAGCCATCCTGTAAGCCAAGGAGAAAGGTCTCACCAGGAACCCAATTGGCCAGTGCCTTAATCTGGGACTTTTAGCATCCAGAACTGTTAGAAAATAAATTTCTGTGGTCTAAGCCATCCAGTCTGTGGTATCTTGTAATGGCAGCCTGAGCAGCCTAATGCCTACAAGGTGGTAAGATTTCTTTTCTTCCTTTTTTTCTTATCTACATTTCTAATTTTTTTTCTAAAAAATAATACTATATTTATCATTTTAAAAGATATCATAAGACATGGTAAATAGTATTAGAGAAAATTTTCAGTGTATACAGATGATTCAGTGAGAAACTCAACATTAGTTAAATCAGTTATTCAAACCTCATCTGTGATTACCTTGACGTATCTTCATTCTCTCCCTATACCATACTACTCATTTGGCCTAAATTAGATGTAACAAAACAAATTGAATCCTTCTTAACTATGAATGTCAAAGATTGATAAGGTTTCTAAATATGACTAAAGAACAGGTTTATTTTCTTCCCATCTAACTACTCTCCAGTTATTATTTGGAAACATTGACCATTTTAATAATTATATTTCCAATTAAAGTAATTAGGATTTTGCCTTAAGATTGTATGCCTAATAATGGTGAAATTAAGCATTTTTTATGCATTACAATATATTTTCTAATTATCTTACCTATATATCCTATTTCTCTCTTATGCCATCTAATTTCTAAGCATTTACTCCCTTTTATTATAATTATATCTACCCATAAACACGAGGTGAGGTCCTGAGTTCCTCCATGGCAATATGTGATGCCCAGTACATCTACGCACACACACATGTTCACAAACACTTTTATCAGTTTATTTTCATCATCTTAATACCCCATGCCAAGGCTGGGTATGCTGGTGAGGGAAGGAACAGAGGAAGAGGGGCTACAGGTTTCAGAAATGGCAAGTTTTCTCTGTGGCAGCAAAGGGTTGGAACCATCCTGGGATCTGAGGAGTGGGGAATGCATCTGGAGAGTGCTGACTGGTACTTGCCGCAGGAAGCTTCTCCTCAGGGACAGAAATCCACGATCACTGTATGCGGACATTCAAAATAACTGAGCCTGTAAGGGACATTCCTCACCCAAGTCACCCTATCATCTGAGCGTTCTTCTTCCATCATGGTCATTTCCTGCATCGTGTGTCCCACCTTCGCAAAGAGGAAGCCAGAAAACTTGCAAACCCAAACTCTCTGCATTAGGGAGCAGGCATGCAGCCTAGCTACATCTAATCTATCCTCAGGAGGCAGATCTAGAGGGAACCCCTGAGGGAGGTGCACCCAGGAATACTGGACTTGAAGCAGACCAGGCGGTAGAGGGATCCAATTCTTGAGGGCGGGGAGTGGCAGTGCTTCTGGAATCCAGTCCTGAGCATCACCAAGTGTCAAATGCTAGTGTCAGTGGTGTTTCTGCTGGAAAAGAAGTAGTTGGTTATTGCTCATGGATGTTTAGTTTTAGTGTCAAATTCTCTGGCCCTGCTAGATATTCTGTGAAGTAATATCCTTTCATCAATTCCTTTTCTGCTCATATTTGCAAAAATGGATTCTGTAAATTGCTATTAAGCTCTCTGCCCAACTTATCATGCCAATTGTAACATTCCCTCCCTCCTCAAAGCAAAACAAAACAAAGCCCAAACCTAGTTAAATTTCACTGTTCATTATTTAATTACTACCAAGAGTAACCATATTTATAGATAAGAAAAATTTAAATGTAAGTCAATGCTATTTATTTATTTACAGAGCCTTAGTAATTAAGGAAAAAAATAGAATTTTCCAGCCAAAGCCCCTCCTCTCTCTCTGCAGTGATCAGCAAAATTCAGTTTTCCTGTTTCCTCACGTCCAAGGATTCAGACAGAACCTGTGAAGTTGACAAGTTCCTCATTAGCACACGTTTGATCTCTGCAAAGCTTCTATTCATTTACTGGGTGCTTAACCACTGATTTCCCTGTTATGGAAACATCCTGAAATTCTACTTCATATTACATGCAGTGTTGACCATCACAGGAAAACCCTAGAGATCGGCACATGAATATCTTCAATGTAAACATAAATGCCAGGGGGCAAATATTTTTATCAGGAGCAACCTGCATCCTGGATGAAGGAAGGAAAGGACACAAGGGGAATAGACTGAAATATACTCCCACATGAAAGGTCTATAATTCGACAGAGAGGCCATTGCACTCAGGAACAATAGAGAGGCATCAGAGTTAAGTGGCTGAAATTGGAATGCTTTTCCAGCTTTATGGAGATATATTTGACATAAAACATAGTGCAAGTTTAAGGTTTACAACATGATTTCTTACATGTTTATATTGCAAAGCGTAAAATAGGAACTTAAAGAGATTATGGGTACATAATAAACATTTAAGCATGTTAGACTTGTTGTATTTCAAAAATAATTTTTATTTTCTACTTGTGGCAGTCAGCAGGCAATTTCAGTTCCTCATCTTGTGGGTCTTTTCGAAGCACTACTCATGACATATGAGCTGGTTTTCCCCAGAACAAATGATCCAAAAAAGTGTAGCTTCTGTCTCAGTACTATGTCACAAAAACATTTGCATTTTATGAAGGTTATTTTTTGCTAATATTTATTGTACATTTAATACAGGGTAGCATTAAGACTTTGTATCCCATAACTCATTATGCTATTCTGATAGCATTAGGCAGATATTATTAAACCTATTTTAGACACAAAGTGATCCCAGAGAGGTTGATCAATTATCCAAGACAATACAACTACTAAATGACAGAGGTAGCACCTGACCCCAGGTCTGTTAGATACCAAAACTCCCAACACTGAATTATGAAGGCTATGCAGCAACACTGAAATGTTGCTTAGAGTTTTGTGTTAAATGCCAAAGGAGAGTAGAAACCTGTATGCACACTATGATGCAATTATGTGAAATATTGTACACATAAGGACAAAAACTTGGAAAGGAGCACATGCCATGTGCTACTCGCTTTTGTGTCCCAGAAGCTTACAGAATCAGGAAACAGTCCTGAACAATGAAAGAAAGATTGAGTGTGCACATGTACAGTGGTTTTCATGGACCAGGAAAAGTAGTTAGAAAACTTGAACTCATTTACTAAAAATAAGAATACATAGGCTCAAAACTCAGAGACTGTTTTCTATGTAGTTGGGTACTGGGATTGCTGGAGTTTTGTTTTTCCCATGATTAGTTTTTTTAAATGTTCTTGAAAGCTGTTACATTGTTTTATAATAAGAAGAGAAATAAGAATAAGCCATACACAGAAGCAGAAAGGCTCAGGATTTCAGCTCCTGAGAATCGCTGAGCTAGTAAAGGTTGAGGAAGCCAGGGTCAGTCCCACCCCACTGCCTTCAGGGTAAATGCTAGGATCTGTCACAGCCAAGCCAAGTTCAGATTGTGAGGCCATAAGGTCACTGAACAAACAGCTTTAAAAGGTCAGGCTGTCTCACTGACAATCAGGCATGTGCAAGAAGGTAAACATCCCCTTTCCCAGAGGAGAAACATGTTTTCCTAAGATCCTAGGGAACCCTTCTGTGACTATTGAGAAGCTGGCAGTATTTTTTCCTAAATCAATGATTTGGCACTCTCTTCCTCTGTGGGGTTCCTCACCATGCCTCACCATCTAACAGACTGGATTCCAGTACTACCCCGCTACAAAAGTCTCATATGAGCAGCAGCCTGAACCACCACTCTCTGAAGGGTGAACAACAGAAAGAGAAACAGAGAGATGAAATGGAAATGCAACTTAGAGAAGGGAGGATGAGGATCGGAGAAGGGAGGGATGAAGAATCGGAGAAGGCTCCCTGAAGGAGCTGTCATAGAAGTTAGGCCATGACAGAGAATATGAATGTTCGGGGAAAGGGGTAGTAAGCTCTTTGGAATGGAGAATACGTGAACAGCAAAGACCCAGAGGACAGACAGTTCAAGGCAAGCATTCCTTTGAGGCTTCATCTATTGATGATAATCATAATCATTTTTAGCATCTCAAAAATGATGACATGCTACATACTGTATGGTTAGTTACAGATATGTGATCCTTGAATTCTAGTAACTAATGCTCTGCAATAAACACAGTCAGATTTACTTGGAGGAGCTAAAAGATAAAATCCTGAAAGTACTTACATTATATGTAATAGGGTAAATGTTTTGGCTTGTGCTTTGAGAAGGGACCCAGCCTCATTCAGTAGTTTACAATAGCTTAGCTTAGAAAGAACAAAAAATAGAGACAAACTGGATCATAGTCAACAGGCTAAGCATGTCCAGGAGTGGCCAAGACTCAAAAGCTGTGACCCACAAGGGTGTGTGTGGTGACCAGCCCCCAAGATGAGCCCAAGGCTCCCTGCCTCTTGCTATTCACACCCTTTCCACATTGTACACCAGGGTTGGTCTGTGCGACCGAAAGAAACTGCACAAGTAATGGTATAACACTTCCAGGATTAGGTTGTAGCAAACTCTGTAGCTTCTGTCTCAGTCTTTTTCACTTTTTTGGATCATTTGTTCTGGGGAAAACCAGCTCATATGTCAGAGTAGTCCTTCAAAGAGACCCACAAGGTGAGGAACTGAAATCACCTGCTGACTGCCACATGGTGAACTTGGAAATGATCCTCCAGCTCCAGCCAGCAGCTTGATTTTGCAGAGACCACATAAGAGACCCTGAGCCAGAACCACAAACCTAAGTTTTCCTGGCCCTCAGAAATTGTTTGATAATGAATGTTTGCTATTTTAAGGTGCTAACGTTTAGGATGATTTGTTGTGCAGCAATAGGTAACTAATACCATGGGAATGGTAGATGCTGTGGATTCTCACAGGGAGTACATTCATGGAAGTCATTGAAGTCAGAGAGGGACAGACAAGACCACGTGGCAGAGCCATAGTTTAGGGAGTCAGTAAGAGCAGAGAGGAAGCAGCGGGGTAGGGAAATTTGATTCTATAACTGCAATAATTATTTGTTAAATAAATGAGCTCATGTTCTCTAAATTCTCTTCATGAACTTCTTAACAAAAGACCTACTCTGGATCGTCTACCAGATTTTAAGGAGTGTCAGTTTTCTATTATTTCAGGTTCTTGAATATAACCCAAAAGTCATGCAACCTCAGATTCACACCCTTGAATGCCTGGACTTTGCTGTAGCATCCCTGAAGGAGAGTGTTCCAGTGGCTTATTCTTGCGAGGAGACCTCTGATGTGGATCCTGACTACTTTGTCAGCACACCACTGGGCTTTGACAAATCTAGAGGCCCTGATGGTTCTGGAGTTCCTCCTCATACCTAATAGAGGAGCTAGCATTTTTAATGTTTGTGCTATGGACCCTGTGCTAAACATTGTATATGAATTTTGTTATCTAATTGTTTATGACAATCTTGCTACATAGATATTACAGTAATTCTCATTTAGGGATGTGGAAATGGAGGCAAAGAGAGGTTATGCATTGTCTAGAGCCACACAGTTCTTGAGTGATTAGGCTAAGGCATTGCTCTTATCTGATCAAATGCACAGGTTCTAAACCACCATCTATAAAGGCCTGGAAGGGCACATTGCCACCAGTAGGCCTGCCAGTTCTAGACACTCAGCCCATCTGGAGGATGTTCAATTCTTCACACAGCACCCCTACTCTTAAAAATTGACAGCAATACTCAATCTAAGCAACCTAGAATTTAGCTTTATCAAATCCACAATTTAAAGCAGTCTACTAAAACAGAACAGTAAGTACTTCATTTTAAAAAATGTTAAGTGGGGAGAAGAGTGGCTTTCCTATCAATATCCAAATTTCTTACACCTCATCTAAAATTGTACACTTTGCTATACCTCTTCACACTCTTTCCCACTGCTTTTGGCTTTATGATGGAATGCTTTAATTTACTCCACATATACTATCCTTGCACCACTGTTTTCTGTAATTTTTACCACATGCTGTCCACTTTCTTGTACTATTTTTTTCAGTAAAGCACTTTGAATACCAGTTTACATGAAAAATGCTATTTGAAATGAAGTTGTATTGCAAGCTACATTATTATAATTTCCTTCTTGCTTTAGTCCTGCTTCATCTTACACAGGTCCCTGAGGTTTGATGCAGTGCTGAAATTTAAATGGGAAGAGTGTTTGGAATTGATGCTCATGTATTACTTATTCAATCTGCTGCTAGAGTAATCCACTATCCAGTTCTCTCTCTGTTTTCAGTATCTTCTAAGGCCTGCTCTGACATCTATCTTACTTGTTTCACGAAGAGAATCTGCACTATCTACATCGTTACAAATTAAGTAGAAGTGGGCAAGTCGCTTTGGCTCTGGGGTAACACCACAGTGTACACTGAGTAACACCAACCAGCCAATCACGAGCATGGGAACGTTTGTTGGAACTCAAGTTATTCAGGGATCACTGCCTTGGTCCTTTGTATTCTTTCCCCATTTTGTCGTTTTACCTTTTA